ACGTAACGTAACGTAACGTAACGTAACGTAACGTAACGTAACGTAACGTAACGTAACGTAACGTAACGTAACGTAACGTAACGTAAGAACGAAGAAGAAGAGAGAGAGAGAGAGAGAGAGAGAGAGAGAAAAGANAAAGAGAGAGAGAGAGAGAGGAAAGGAAGAGGGAGGGGGCAGGGAAAGAAATACATACAGAGAGAGAGTAAGGACTATTAATCTCTTTTTCTTTTATTTCCTTTTTCATTACTGAGTTCTTAACTTTTGCTTTGTCGTAATTTGTTACCAAAATGATTGTGTGCAAGAAATCAGTGACTCAAATGCCTTGCAACTTTAAGATCAATTGAAAATTTAGGAGCAATATCTGAACGTATCATTCTGCTGATATGCTAGAATGAAAAATCATACAAATATTGGTCTTTCTGTATTATTTAACGGTATAATATTAAGTGTGGAGCTTAATGCAATATAACTCCTCTGCTGCCGATATAAAATAAGTAATTTTGCCTTAATGGATGAACCATGAGGGGTACCATTTTCCTTTTCTTCTTTCTGATAGGAACATATATACTTTGCCAACCATCAGACATCAATAACTAACAGAAAACGAAATAGAATACCACCATTTTCCTCCCCCTTTAACCCTGATCTATTATTCAACCAACGACAATAGAACAAGTAAACTTTTTGAAAGACCTAACCTTAGTTTAAAAAACTGAAAAAGAACAACATATGGAACTACAACACAAATTTCACATCAAAAATAGCACATAAATCTACACAATCCCATGTCCAAACATCAAAAATGGTATCCATATCTCAGAAAGAAAATTGCAAACCATAACTCACACCTAAACAAAGGGCAATTATAATCATTATCAAAAAAAAAAAAAGGGGGCAATTATAATCTTCACCTAATATAAAGTCAAATAATGCATAAGCAAGACTAAAATGGCAACTGGTACTATACCTAGGCTTAGTCCATCGAGTAAAACAAGAAATGCTCCATGAAGAAATGATTCTAATGGCCCAATATAATTCTCGGTGGCATTAATAAAGGATATCCAAGACAATAGATCTCTTACTGTAAGAACTCTCCCTGTCTGTAGTTCACGAAACATCTGATTCCCACATCAACATCAAATGTTAGCAAGTGACATGCATGTGGAAAGCTCTACATAACAAGTATAGAGATTCAAGGAGACAGCTCAAGACTAATGTTTATCCTAAACATATGTATGCGTGAATACCATGCAAATTCCTTTTTTTTTTATCAAGTGAATAACATGTAGTCATAGAAAACAATCAATAAAAGTGACTAAGAATTATGTTAGCCAGGCAGATAAGTACATAATAGATCGATCATCATGCAAATTTTTAAGAACCCATACAAGGTCACAATGGCAAAATATAGGCATAAAAACAGTCTCCTTGCAAAGCAGCAAGTGTAACATACATATTTTGGACACTCGCCTTATTGTTTTACTTGGCAAGAAAACACTTGTAAAAAAATAGGAAGAGAAGAAAAAAACAACAAAGAAATAAAACCCAGTAGCCATAAAGAAATGTAATGGGGATAAACTAGACAATTTGCATTGGTTGTTGATATCATCAAGATAAAAAATTTATTTGCTTCTAATATGAAAATAGAATGATTAAGTATCCAAGTTGAAACACACTTTACACTAATTTTGGCTGTGCTTTATCAATTAGATTTATAACTTTTTGAAGTTTTTTTTTTTTTTTTGAGAATGTTAACAGTTAATACCATAATCAAAGGAGTCCAAAAGTATGGGTTGAGAGGACCCACAGACTGGGTCTCTCAACCAAATGGTCACTAAGAAGTGGACCTGTACAAAAGGTCGGGCTAAACAACACCCGAGAAGCAAAAATTAAAAGCTGTCCAGAGAAAGGGGCTGATAGAATATGCCCATTTACAAAAGAGGAAGAAAAAGGCCACCCGCCGAATGTGCAGCTGTGAACCCCATGAGACGTCTATAACCCTGCAATTATGCTCAATCTCGTCAAAAATGTGGGCTAGGTACCAAGGAGGAGAGGCCTTTCTAGAGGCCCAGGATATAATGTTTTTGGCGTCTCCCTCAATGTGCAACTTTGAACCCCAGGAAGGGTTGTATTTCTTGATGCCCATCAACAAGGCTGTAGCCTCTGCAAATTGTGAGTCTAAGAAGCCAAGGTGCTATGAGTAAAATGTGAGAATATCACCATTATGGTCGCGGAAAACCCCTCCAGCACCAGTTAGGCCTGGGTTTCCTAGGGAGCATCCATCAAAATTTAGCTTAATGAATCCCACCGGGGCAGACGTCCAGGTGGATGCTCTTGAGGTGCGATGAGGAGTGAGGTGAATAAGATTCTCCCAGTCGCAAAGGAAAGTGGCAGCCGAAGTCCCGGCGAAAAGTCTGTGATTGGATGCCCAAAAGATTACCATCGAAGTAACCTTATGAAACAGAGCTCGGAGTTAGCTTTTGCTTCCACAGAAAATTCTTGAATTTCTTTCGAGCCAAATTGTCCATAATGCTGCAGCTAAAGAGGTTTCCAGAGGATTCTGCCCGACTTCAGCAAGTGAGAATCGAAAGAGCAAGATGCCAACGCTGGAATAGAAGGAGGGGTAACCCAAGATACTCCAAAGAGTTGGACAATACGACTCCAGAGTTGAAGGGCAAGCTGGCAATGAATGAACAAGTGAGGGTTCGTTTCTTCCTCACAAAGGCACATGATGCACCTATTGGGAGGTTGAATACCTCATCTTTGGAGTAAGTCGACGGTAAGAGCACATTCAGAGCAAGCGATCCAGTGAAAGGCTTGCACTTTTGGAGGTGTGATGGAGGACCACACTTGGGATAATACAGGTTTCGGGTTGAGGGGGAACGTAGGCTGCAACAGTCTCTTATAGAAAGAGGCCACTGTAAAAGAGCCGGTGGGAGAGGAAGTCCAAACGATTGTGTATGTCCCCGCAATAGACAGAAAAGTGGAGTGGAGGGATGCCAAGAGAGACATGAAATCCATGGTTTCTTCCTCTGTGAGGGATCGCCTAAAGGATGGATTCCAAACCCTGTGGCTACCGGAGAGAACCATTTCCTCCGAGACCAGAGAGGCTTTGTTAACTGCCACGGAGTAGAGAGAAGGGAAGAGATCTCAAAGCACGGTGTGGCCTAACCAGAGATCGGAGCAAAAGCTCACTCTAGCCCCTCCTCTAGCATGAAAACATACAACTTGTTTGAACAAGTGGAGGGAGGAGAGCAAAGTTTTCCAGGCACCCGAGCCCTTGGTCGTTGGATTGCCCTCAGGCAGCCAATGATCTGATGGGATGTTGTATTTGCATCAGATAACCTTGGCCCAAAGCTGGCTGTTCTGGGTGGCCAGTCTCCACCGCCATTTACCCAGGAGCACGAGGTTGTGTTTCCATAGAACTCGGATACCAAGACCACCCAAATGTTTCGGGAGACAAACTTTGTCCAATGAGATGAGGTAGATCATATTTAACGCAGTAGCACCTGACCAGAGGAAGTTCCTCATCAGTTGGTCTAGAAGCTTAGCAACCGAAGCTGGCATGTGGAATAAGGACATGAGTTAAACCGAGGAGTTGGCTAGGGCTGCTTTGATAAGCATAGTTCTCCCTACGAAGGATAAGTATCTGCCTTTCCATACTGCCAATCTTTGGTCCACTCTATCGATTACATGAGACCACTAAGCTTTCTTTGGCTTCCCCAGCACCAGAGGCAAGCCAAGATACGACGTGGGTAGGTCCTCCACTGAGCATTCCCAACTGGGGATGAAGTTCCTGGTTTGGAGATTAGATAGGCCTACACCTATCATTTTAGACTTAGGCATGTTTACTTTGAATCCCGTGGCGTACTCAAAGCAAATCAAGAACAACCTAAGGTTTTCGATTTCCTCCGATACTGCATCCAAGAAAACTAGTGTATCGTTTGTGTACTGCAGATGGGATACGCACGGGCCATTTCTACTACTTTTGAAGCCAGAGAGTAGTCCGGCCTGATACATACAGGAGATAGACTGGCTAAAGACTTCCATAGCAACGCGAAAAAAAGGAGAGAGAGGGTCTCCTTGAGAGGGTCTCCTTGGCGAAGGCCCCTAGAAGACGAGAAGTACCCTTTCGATGACCCGTTGATGAGGGCTGAGAAAAAAGGTTTGGAGTAGCAACCCCTCATCCACTTCCTCCAGCGCTCGCCGAACCCCATCCTAGACAAGGTTTGGTCGAGAATGAGCCAATCCACGTCGTCATACGCCTTCTCCCAGTCTATCTTATAGACTAAGTCTAGTTTTTTTATGTGGTGGCGAGAGTGTACGCACTCATAAGCCACCAGCACTCCGTCTAGTATTTGTCGGTCCTTGATGAAGGCAGATTGTGAGGAGGATATGACAAGAGGAAGAACCTATTTGAGCCTGAAAGCCAAGAGTTTGGACCGAATTTTATACGAGGAATTGACCAGACTTATGGGCCCGAAATCCTTCAATTCCTCTGGCCCTTCTACCTTAGGTACAAGCGCAATGAAGGTTGCGTTGATGGCTTTATGGAGTCTTCCACGAACGGAAAAATTCCTAGAAAAGAGAAGGAAGTCATTCTTGAAAGTATCCCAAAAAACTTTAAAAGGGGATTGGGAACCCGTCTGGGACGGGGCCCTTGTCTTTACCCAGGTCCTCCAATGCTTTAAAGATTTCATACTCAAAGAAAGGGTGTTCCAACCATCAACCCAATGAGAGGGGAGAGATAGGAAATGAAGGTTGCCCATACTAGGTCTAGGATTCGAAGGGGCGGAGTAGAGATTCTGAAAGAAAGTGAGGATGGCTCGTTCAATGTCCGAGGCAGTATCCAGGACCATGTTACCTTTCTTAATAGTGGAGATGGAGTTATCTCGTCTACGATAGTTTCCTATCCTATGGAAGAAGCCAGTGTTCTAGTCCTCTGATTTAAGCCAAGTAACTCTGGATCTCTGGTACCAGTACAACTCTTCCTTTTTCAGAGTAGAGAAATAGTCCAACTTTGATTTTGCCCTTAGGTTGGCCTCAGAGGTTGATAAAGGCCTCAATTCCTCAATCAGATCAAATGCTTGGATGGCGTTCAACTAGATTTGCTTAGTATGAGAGAAATTTCCTAGAAGAGAGGAACTCCAAGTTTAAGGGAGGCTTTAAGTAATTGGATCTTTTTTGCAGCCTAAAGCCAGCTCTACCGAGACTTGGGTTGGGAAGGAGTTCCACCGGGCTGGAATGAGCGAAGACATAGCTTCTTCTTCGAGCCAAGCAAGTTCAAGCCTAAGAGGTTTGGGGCCCCTAAGAACTGCTAGAGTGTCCAGGAGCATAGGGCAGTGGTCGGAAGTAGGTTTTGGCAAAGCTAAAGCATGAGAGACATAGAAGTTCTCGTCCCAGGAGGGGGAAATCAGGAAGCTGTCCAGATTTGACAGAGTTGGTTGGGAACCATGGTCCGACCAGGTGAACAGGTTCCCTTGGAGCGGGATATCTATCAACTCATTGCGAGAAATGAAGTCCGAGAAATCCAACATTCCTTGGGAAATGTTGGAGTTGAAGTTCCTCTCGAATGACCATCTAGTTATGTTAATGTCCCCGCCCAGACACCAAGAAGGGTGAGGGAGGGTTGCCAAGAAGTCGAGTTCAGCCCAGAGAAGAGTTCTGAGTTGAACTGAGTTGGGGCCGTAGATTGCGGAAAATTCCCACGGAAAGTCATCTGACAGTCTTGATAGTAGCACTGTTATCGAGAAGTCCCATATATGGGAAGAAAGTTGTGCTCAGATGGGTTCCAGATGACCCAAATACCACCTGAAGCCCCTGTCGCAGGCAGAGAAAGCCACGAGCAAGGTTTCCGACCCCAGACTTGCCGAATCAACTGGAGAGAGGGATCCGATTGTTTGGACTCGGTCAAGGCAAGGACAGTGAGCCAGTGTTTAGCACACAAGCAACTCCCGGCATTACGTTTGAGCGACTGTCCCAAGCTGCGGACGTTCCAGGTTATGATTTTCAAGGCAACACCAGGGGAGGGGCAGAGGAGGCCAACCTGGGAGACCTCTTGGTGCTGGCATCCCGCGAGGGGGGAGCAAGGTGAGAAAACAAGGGAAAGGCCAGAGGG